ATTTTGTCTCTGTTCTCCTACTGATGGGTTGCTGGGGAGATACAGTTATCTTTCTTTGTAGATGTTAGGTGTGCCATCAGACACTACCCATTGTTATAAGGGTCTCATTCACAGTTAGGGTGACCAGATGTTCCGATTTTATAGGGACAGTCCCGATTTTTGGGTCTTTTTCTTGTATAGGCTCCTATTCCCCCCACCCCCTGTCCCTATTTTTCACACTTGCTGTCTGGTCACCCTATTCACAGTCAAAGCGAAAGATGTGATAAAGGTCTATATGGACATCAGTTTAAGAAAAACTGCAAGGTTTTTACTATTTTTTTTTTTTTACTGTGGGTTATCAAGAAATCTCACATCTTTTGGAATATCTCCTCTGGGAGAAACACCTTGGCTTGAAAGCAGTCTAGAACTGCTCAGATAAAAGTGATCCTACATAACCGTTCCAAGAGAGTAGTTATCAGTGGTTCACAGTTATGCTAGAAGGGCATAACAAGTGGGGTCCCTCAGGGATTAGTTTTGGGTCCGGTTCCGTTCAATATCTTCATCAATGATTTAGATAATGGCATAGAGAGTACACTAATAAAGTTTGTGGATGATACCAAGCTGGGAGGGGTTGCAAGTGCTTTGGAGGATAGGATTATAATTCAAAATGATCTGGACAAACTGGAGAAATGGTCTGAAGTAAATAGGATGAAATGCAATAAGGACAAATGCAAAGTACTCCACTTAGGAAGGATCAATCAGTTGCACACATACAAAATGGGAAATGACTGCCTAGGAAGGAGTACTGTGGAAAGAGGTCTGGGGGGGGTCATAGTGGACCACAAGCTAACACTGTTGCAAAAAAAGCAAACATCATTCTGGTATGTATTAGCAGGAGTGTTGTAAGCAAGACACAAGAATTAATTCTTCTGCGATACTCTGCGCTGATTAGGCCTCAACTGGAGTATTGTGTCCAGTTCTGGGTGCCACATTTCAGGAAAGATGTGGACAAATTGGAGAAAGTCCAGAGAAGGGCAACAAAAATGATTTAAGGTCTAGAAAACATGACCTATGAGGGAAGATTGAAAAAATTGGGTTTGTTTAGTCTGGAAAAGAGAAGACTGAGAGGGGACATAACAGTTTTCAAGTACATAAAAGGTTGATACAGGGAGGAGGGAGAAAATTGTTCTTCTTAACCTCTGAAGCAATGGGCTTAAATTGCAGCAAGGGAGATTTAGGTTGGACATTAGGAAAAACTTCCTGTCAGGCTGGTTAAGCACTGGAATAAATTGCCTAGGGAGGCTGTGGAATCTCCATCATTGGAGATTTTTCAGAGCAGGTTAGACAAACACTTGTCAGGGATGATCTAGATAATACTTAGTCCTGCCATGAGTGCAGGGGACTGGATTAGATGACCTCTTGAGGTCCCTTCCGGTCCTATGATTCTATGATATATATCTTAGAGAAGATTTCTCCCAGTTAATTATCAGTGCCAGAGACTGTAGGAGGTTGCACACGAAGTGAATCACAGAAAACGGATGGTCCAGAGAACTGGCCTGAATTAGGGTACCATATGTCCTGTTTTGGCCGCAACAGTCCCTTTTTTAAGCCCTGTCTCGACTTTTTCTCCAAAAGGAGGCATTTGTCCTATTTGCTCTTGCTGACTTGATCAGTTGGCAACAGCAAACACAACAAATACCCACTTTTGTCAAAAAAGGGGGATGCGGTGTGGAGGGGGTGAGCAAGATGCCAGCCCCTTGAAGGGGGGAGGCAGGACTTGGGGGGAGCAGCGTTCCAGCATGTGGGGCCCCCACAGGAGTCCAGCGACCGGCAACAACGGGGGGGAGGATGCAGCTTGGGCAAGCGGCTGGGGGTGTCCCGTTTTCTCTTTGGGAAATATGGTCACCTGTAGCGGGGTGATCACCCGCTCCAGCCTGGAAAGGGTTAAAGCCAGCCCTGGGAGAGGGCTGGGTCTATGGGAAGCGGCTAGGCTGATGGGGAAGGCAGCCACATCTGGGGCCACGCCCCAATCAGGTTGCAGCTGGCCGTATAAAAGGCCAGTGAGCCCAGAGCTTAGGAGACTCCCTCTCTAGCTTTTGAAAGGGAAGGACCTAGTTGCCTGGGAGCTGAGCTGGGAGCTGAGGTAGGGCAGAGCTGGGGGAAAGGCAAGAGGGACTGGGGAGCTCCAGCCTGACAACCCCCCAGGCTGCAGGGCCTTGTGCGGGGCCTAAACCAGGTACTGGGGTTGCAAAGGGACAGCCTGGGGCTAGGCAGTGGCAGCAGGTCCTACCCCCCCCTTGCCAATTATGAGTTCCAACTCTTTGTCAAGGGCACAGCTTCCCTTACTAACTAACGACAACCAATTCACAAGGTTCAAATGACATAATTCAGATTTTGCAAAGATTACATTTAATGTTAAATACAATAAGCAAGTTTTATAGAGCTTTAACAGCTTTCCTAGAAATATAAGAGTATTGGGGGGTGGGAGAGTGCTATCTGTTGTTTTATTGTTTTAAATCAGCTGGGAATAAGAGTATTATTGTATAGTTGAGAATATTTGCTTTGTGATAATTTTAAATAACTGCACCTTAGTTAAATTGCCACAAGTAAATAGAGAACAATCAGTCTATTTACTTTTTCTTCAGCGGTATATTGTATATGGTTTTAATTTGTTTAAGTATATTGTTAAATTTGGAAGTTTCATTTAATTACTCAGCTGACAACAGCCGGAATGCCAATAATTTATTGGCAGAGGATCTCCTAGGAAGTAACATTAAATGCAGAAAAGACTATTTAGTCACAAATTTCTTCAGAACAAAACATTAAGCAAAGTACATCCTCACAACTTAGCGCTTCTGCATTCTTTAATATTCTGTACATGCACTATTAAAGACATTATTCATTCCATAAAATGTAAGAATCTTCTCTCATTTCTTAAGAAAGTGGATATTGTCCTAATTCAGGAAATATAATTACACCTCCGTACATGATAAACTGAAACAAAGATTAGACGGGACAAGTACTTGTTGCATCTTACACTAGTCACACGTGGGTAACTATAATAATGCATGACCAACTTATCCTTAATGGTTAGTTCAGTCACTGCAGTTGAGAAAGGACATTATCTGTTTCTGAGAACTGTCTGGCAATAAATTTAATATCTAGTATGTACACATATATACATATACAAACAACAACAACAAGAGTAAGAGTTTTAGCTACATCATAGAGAAAAGAGAGAATCTTAGAAATATTATGGAAGCAGCAGCAGCAAGATTTGGAACAGTTTGCATATGTATGGCAAGAGTGAGTCAAAATGACACCTAGTTGTGTGCCTGTGTGACAAGGATAGCAATGTTTGTCAATAGTGACAGAAAAAGGGAGGGAAGTAGAAAAAGGTGAGATGAAAACTGAGAAATTCAGCTGTAACTATGTTAAATTTTAATGAACTGTAAAATATCCTGGAGGAGATGGTTACACAATCACATTGAAATACAGGGTTGAATAGAGGAAGACAATTCAGAAGTGGAGACAGAGACTTGGGAGTCATTGGCAGAAAGATGGTACTTGAAACCCTGTTTGGGAAGATCACCTCGAGGAAGGGTGTAGACAGAGATATGGGCCTATGATATCCTCTCTGTGGACCAATCACTAAAAGGAGGATAAGACACAACCTTGCCAGCATGTTTCAATAATATATGCTGACAGCATAAAGGTTGAAACTCAGGAATCCTGAATTCTGCTCTGAGCTCTGGACAGAAGTGTTTTCTAGTGGTTAGACCCTTCTGCTCCTGTCCCCTCCAGCCTGACATTTTCTGCCCTTGTATCCATCTGTTTCTGTCCACCATGTTCTTTCCCCATTCTGTTCCTGTCCCTTCCCCTCCCAGCATCCTGTCCTGTTCCCCCTCTGTTCCTATCCCCACACCTAGCTTTGTAATCCTGTGACAGTCTGTATTTGTCCCTCCCTCCCATTTTGCTACTCATCTGTCTGCATTCCAGTCAGGCTATATCAATGTCCTTTATGTTGTCTAGGTGCCAGCAGAGCACTGAAAACATAAGAGTCTCACTGCTCTCACTTCTGTGCCTGGTGCCACAGCAACATCCACTCTGCTCGACCCCCCTCCCCTCTACCCCACCTCTTCCCGCCCCCTCTCCCGAGCGTACCACGTCCCACTCCTCCCCCTCCCTCCCGAAGCCAACCTGCACGCCGTGAAACAGCTATGCATGGCGGGTGGGACTCGGGAGGCGCTGAGAGAGAAGGGAAGGAGTGATCAGCGGGGCCGCCAGTGGGGGGAGAGGGGCAGGGGGCGAGGGAGGGGAGGGGGCAGCTTGGTTCCTGGTGGGTGCTGAGCACATGCTAATTTTTCTCCGTGGGTGCTCCAGAGCTGGAGCACCCTATGATGCCCCATACTAGAGTACACAGTGAGTTCTGCAGGAGTGGAGTGTGCCCCTTGTTATTCGCACTGAGCTCTTTGGGGGTGGAGCATGCTTGGAGACTTTTACTGTCAGCCTCGAAAAAATGTGCAAATGGCATTTTCAGTGGCTTGTAATTCAGCCAAATGTGGGTGGATTTTCACAGGAACAGCAAAAGGCCAGAGCAACCTCCTTGCAAATGTCAAATCCCTAATCCAAAGGATGGAGGTTCTAGAATTTCTCAGTGAAATCGTTGTATGATTTTAACATTGGCAAAACAATGGCATTTTTCCCTAACCCCATTCCCGGTAACAGATGTACCACCCTTGCTGAAACTTTGCAGAAAACTCCAGACAGAGGCAGCCGCATGGCATGGAACATTTCAGCCCATAAAGTTAAAGTCTGAAAAGTTATAAGCAACTGAAAAATGGTCTTGAATGAAAAGTGTTAGTCAAACTTTACTATAGGAATTGCTGCCAACTCTGCTTATAATAAGGACACATCTGAAGAAATTAATTAAATCAGGACTATGTTACAAATAGCATTCTCTTCTATCCAATTTTTCCACATCTTAAAAATAATTTAAATAAAATAATATCATATACAACCTTGTACCGGATTTTTTCTCTAATTATTTTTTCTTCTAATTCTTCCAGTTTTATTTTTCCTTCACCATAAGCCATTTCAATATTATATAGCTCTTTATTCACTTTTCTTATTTGCTCTTCAATTTTACGGGTGTTTTTGCACATAATCTGCAGTTCTGACTGATACGTTATTTTTCTTCTTGAACTGTTAAAATAAAACAAAACCTTAGAATTATCTTACAAGAGATGCATGCTTGCAAAAGTAGAAAATTAAAAGAAAAAAAATCACTGTTGAATAAGTAAAACTAAAACATTTTAAAATTTTACTTACAAACTAAAGTCAGTATTTTATTAACCACTTAGTTGATGCTGGATATACCAAATACATCTTCCAAATGCATACTTCCATTTTGCTGCAAAATATACTGTACCTTGTATGCCCAGATAGTCTATTGATTTCAGGAAGTCATATATTCATACTACAGATATCCAGAAAACAATAAAATCTACATCTGTAATATAGATAAGCAAAAAACTACATTAAAAGAAAGTTGCATAATAAAGTACTCAAGTCAACAAATGCCAAAGTTAAGGTTGCCCACACAACCTTAACTCAGCTGCTTCATGATAATGGACCAAATCTTGGGCCACACACAGGCTACTTAGCACCACACCATTGACATAAAGCAGTCATACAGCTGATGGATCCACTTCCCTATGGCTTTCCCTCCTTCAGCAATCCTTGGTGACAGAGCCATTAGAGATCACTTATATACAGTGTGCAAGAAAAAACATTAACAAGGAACAAATTTAGTTAAAGTGAACCTGAAAGACTATTAGTTAGACTAAATCAGACCCAGTAGCATAGACCAGAACCAATCAAATCAAAGGAATACGATGGACATGTCAACATTTTATTTTCCTTTGACTAATGAAATATGGTCTATATTGGTATAACTTAACACTTTTTAGCTGCTTTTAACAGAAAAGTGGGATTAATGAGGAACCTTTCACTGAGCAACCAAAGGCAGCATCAGTTGAACCAAAACGTCAAACCTCTGTCATCTAAGGGTATGTCTACACTATGAAATTAGGTCGATTTTATAGAAGTCGATTTTTAGAAATCAATTTTGTACAGTCGATTGCGCATGTCCACACTAAGCGCATTAATTCGGTGGAGTGCATCCTCACTACCGTGGCTAGCATCAACGTATGGAGTGGTGCACCGTGGGTAGCTATCCCACAGTTCCCGCAGTCTCCATCGCCCATTGGAATTCTGGGTTAAGCTCCCAATGCCTGATGGGGCAAATACATTGTCAAGGGTGGTTTTGGGTACATGTCGTTAGTCGCCCCTCCCTCCGTGAAAGCAACGGCAGACAATCGTTTCGCGCCAGACACCAGGGCAATTAGAAGAGCATAGCAAGGTGCGCTGCGCATCAGAGAGGCTTTGAAAACCTGTTTCATGACTGGCCAGGCTTCGGTGTGACAGTTGTGTGTGTTTCTCCTTTCTGCAAACCCGCCCCCTTTGTTGATTTTAATTCCCTGTAAGCCAACCACCCTCCCGACTTTGAAACTATTGTTTTGAAACCATGCATTCTTTCTTTATTAATTTTTTAAAATGAGATAACGGACAAGGTAGCACAGGTGGGGTGGGGGAGGAGGGAAGGACAAGGCCACATTGCTTATTGTAGCCACACTAAAAATCAAACTGTTTGAATGACAGCCTTCTGCTGCTTGGGCCATCTTCTGCAGTGGAGTGGCTGGGTGCCCAGAGCCTCCCGCCCCGCATTCTTGGGCATCTGGGTGAGGAGGCTATGGAACATGGGGAGGAGGGGAGGCGGTTATACAGTGGATGCAGCGGGGGGTCTGTGCTCTTGTTGGCTTTCCTGCAGCTCCAACAGATGCTTGATCATGTCCGTTTGCTCCCCCAACAGATGCTTCATCATGTCCGTTTGCTCCTCCATTAGCCTCAGCATCGCATCCTGCCTCCGCTCTTCGCACTCACTTAATTCTTTCCTGGCCTCTGCCACTGAATGCCTCCATGCATTAAGCTGTGCCCTATCAATGCGGGAGGACTGCATGAGCTCGGAAATCATGTCATCACGAGTGCATTTTTTTCACCGTCTGATCTGCGATAACCTCAGGGATGGAGATGATAGGGGGAGCGTAGAAACATTCTATGCTCTATGATTCTGGGGGGACTGCATGGTCACCTGTGCTGCTGAGTTCGCCACGCTGACCAAACAGGAAATGAAATTCAAAAGTTCCCGGGGCTTTTCCGGTGTACCTGGCTAGTGCATCGGAGTTCAAAGCGCTGTCCAGAGCAGTCACAATGGAGCATTCTGGGATAGCTCCCGGAGGCCAATATTGTCAATTTGCGTCCGCACTACCCCAAATTCGACCCAGCAAAGTCAATTTTAGCACTATTCCTCTCGCCAGGGAGGAGTCGATTTTAAGAGCCCTTCAGGTCGACGGAACGGAGTTGGTTTTGTGGACGCATTCATTTTTAAATCGACCTAACACGGCTAAATTCGATCTAACCCTGTAGTGTAGACCAGGCCTAAGAAAGATACTGTATATACCCTATAGAGGAACATACTGTAGCTCTGCATGTTTAAATCTACAAACTTCTGACTCAGCCCAGAAGTGACCATACCCCTAGTACAATTAGAGGCAAGACTGACACTCTCAATAATAGGCTCCATAAATACAGACTTTACTAGAGCTAAAAACAAGAAACAGTAACTTACCTTACAGTAAGTGTGGTTCTTCATGTGTTGTCCATTCATATTCCACTCTTGGTGATCATGCGCCCCACAAATTTGAGATCAGAATTTTTGGGCCCATAGTGATTGTTGGAGACATGTATGCACCAAGTCTACTCATGACCTGTAGCAAGGGCATAAAGGGTGGACCAAGCCCAACCACACTCAGTTCCTTCATCAATACAGATTCCAGATGTTATAAGACACCACAGTAGCAGGGAAGGAGGCCGGGCCATGGAATATGTGTGGACAGCACATCTCGAAGAACCACAGTACCTAGCCAGTGGTTCAGTTCCAGAAACTTCTGGTTTTTGTCTTCCTTTGCTCACAGTTCAGGAAAAATCGCTGAGAAGATTATGTGGACATTTTTCGCCTTCAACATCCTTTCAAGCTCCCTGAAGTCATTAGTGCCAATATGCACCATCACCAGTGTATTCTTGCCCATCAACATCAAAAGCCTCTCTAATCTTAGAATGATGTCTCATTCTTGGCTCCAGGAAGATAAGCACATTATCCTATTGTCTACCTGCTCCTTGGAGAATATTCTTTCTTCATTCTTTTTAATATAAAATCCACAGCAAGAACTGTCTGTCTTCCTTGGACAGCTGGAGATCTCTTTGTGGGCATGCTTATCTTGCATGTTGGGCTGAACAGCCACACACAGGTATGTTCCATACAGCTTTCTCTTCAATTCGACAAGCTGGAACTTCAGATATATTTTCTGCAGTTTCCATGCTAAGAACATGATAATGATTGGATACTTCTAGCTGTATGGAATTCCTCCTGGTTCTCTCCAGTTTGGTGGTCACAGTCTTCCCATCCTCTTTTATTTTAAACAATGTAGAATGCCACCTAGTCCTCTTGCCTCTGGTGGTTAAAAACTGCCAAGACTCCTCTCTAGTTCCCACTCTCTCAGGAGCCTTGGTGGCCAGTTCCTTCCTTTCTTGAATCTGTGGGAGTGATGTTTCCTAAATCAGATTGTCTAACAACTCTGATGTGCCATAGTGAATGTACTTGTCCTTCCAGACCATAATCTTTTCTTCCAGCAAAGCCACCAGCTCACATTTAATACAGAGGAAATTCCTTCTGGTTTCCAGCAGGAAAGAACATGACAAATCTATTGCAAGTCTCAACCACTGTTCCATAACTGGCCATCACAGTATTGAAAGTAGAACTATACCTAGAAAAAAATCCTCTCACTCCATCTGAAACTTGTTTGCCGCTCCTGTTCACCTGGCAACTGACTTAAACACTAAAGCCCAGATCTTTAAAGCTATTTAGGCATTGCTGCACTCAGCATTGCAACACCTAGCTGATTGAGGAGCCTAAGTTTAATTTTCACAAATTATTTAAGCATTTAGGAGCCTAAATCCTTTCAGCTCCTAAGTGCCTAAATCTCTTTTGAAAATGATATATAGGCTCCTAAATCAGATAGGTGTTACAATGCTGAGCGCAACACCTGCATACCTTTAAAAATCTGGGTCTAAATTTTGCTGCTTAGCTCCATGCCTTTGCTGAGAGGGAGGGATTAATCACTCAGACTTCAAACATCAGGCCTGATCAAAGACCCAACTGTATGCTTCAAAGCCAGTAATTTGCACCAGTTTCCACTGACCTTCAATTTACAGCACTTAAACTAAACATTTAAAAATTATTTAATGTAAAGAAGGCTTATTATGTATCAATAAAGTATGAATTCAGACAGCCTTATGAATTTGTCATGAAAATATATCAGCTCAGCCACAAAATCTACTCACCGCTTTCCATGATGTTCTGATAATAGAGAAAAGAAAACTAACGATATTTTAGCAACCCATAAAAAATTACTCATACAAGGTGAGAGTAATAATTTGCAAAACTGCAACATGATCAATAATGCTAAAGTGTTTTAATAGTCTTAAAATACATTTTATTTTTATAAATGCATTAGGAATAATGTTATATATAACAGCATTTAAAGTATATTTGAAATCACTAAGAAAGAGAAGGTTACTCACCTTGTGTAGTAACTGAGGTTCTTCAAGATGTGTCCCCCTGTGGGTGCTCCACTTCAGGTGATTGTGCACCCCTACACCTCTAGTCGGAGAATTTCAATAGCAATACCCAGTTGGGCTGCCCATGAGCTCTCCCAGTCTCGCACCTGTAGCGGTGATTAACTAGTGCTGTGTGGCCAACCCCGCTCAGTTCCTTCTCTACTGCAGAGGATCTTGAGAGAACTCTGAAATAGAGGGGAGGACAGTGGGCAGTGGAGCACCCACCAGGACACACATCTTGAAGAACCTCAGTTACTGCACACGGTGAGTAACCTTCTCTTCTTCTTCGAGTGATGTTCCTGTGGGTGCTCCACTTCAGGTGACTGTAGAGAAGTGTCCCTCAGTGGAAAGAAGGGGCTATGGAGTTGGATCTGTGATCGATGATAGGGCCATGAGTCTTAATAAAGTGTCTGATGTCGAGTCTTGCTTGATTGCATAGTGCTGAATGAATGTGTGATCTGATGCCCAAGTGGTTACTTTACATGTGTCTGTAATAGGCACTGTAACAGGGTTAGCACCCACCTCTCGCGAGCGCCCGCTTTTCTCTGGCTGATATATCTGCAATTACAGTCTTTTTGGGGGCAGCACCTGCCTCTCACAGGCAGCCCCCTTTGGTTGGTTGGGTGTGAGCCTGCTTTTGGTTTTAATTCTTATACCGGGGTGGCACGCGCCTCTCGTGAGCACTCCCCTCCACCCCGGCTGATGGTTCTCTTGGCAAGTCTTCAGCAACTCATCCCTCCGACCGAGACGCATACACTTTCCCCCCTTCCGGGATATACAGTCCAAGTTCTTATCTTGGCCCTGGTATGGGGCCCTAGCTCTAAGGCTTCTCCCAGAAGCACTGCCTTCTTGAACCACCCAGATGAGGCCCATCTCAGTACCCACAGCTGGTGGTGTTTCAGCAGGCCTCCCTGGGCTCAGTCTTCAACCAGACCAGTGGGGCCCATCTTGGTACCGTCGCTGGCCTGGCCAGGTTCTGTGCTCAGTCCCCCTGCCCGCACTGACCTTCCACTGGTCCTGCTGCTCTTCCCGCCAGCCAGACACCCGGTCTTCAGCAGCCTTCTCAGGGCTTCAGTCCTGTCTGTGGTGAGCTCTCCACAGTGAGCTGTCCGCGGTACTGCTGCTCTTTCAGCCAGACAGTCACCCGGTCTTCACTCCTTGAGCTCCATACAGCAACTGAACTTCTCTGCTCTGCTGCTTGTCTTATATAGGGCCCTTCTGGCCCCAGACTGGCTGCTCCATCAGCCCTTCTGATTGGCTGCTCCTCTGCAGCCACTCTAGGCTGTCTGGAGGACTTCTCTCTGCTCTATTCTGGGGCATGGTGATGCAGGGCCACGTGGCCTCCAGCAGGGGGCCTCCGGACCTAGTCCACCCTGCCACAGGCACATTATTAAGGAAGGATACTGATGTGGAGAGCGACCTGTTGTGGGGGGTTACAGTTCATGCTGGCGGCAGCAGAGATGAATGCACTCTGAAATCCATTTTCAAAGTCTTTGCTTAGATATAGCTTCTCCTTTAGATCTCTCTGTATTCAAGATAAATAGTTTTGGTGCCTTGCTGAACGGTTTAGTCCATTCGAGATTAATGACTAGTGCCCTTCTGACATCTAGAATATGGAGTGCCGCTTCTTGCCTGTTCTTACGGGTTTTAGGGAAGAATGTGGGAAGATGGATGGGTTGGTTGAGGTGGAACAAAGAGGGTATTTTAGGTAGAAATTTAGGATGTGGTCTTAGAGTGATCTTGTTCTTGAAAAAGATCATGTATGGGGGGGGTATGCCATGAGGGCCCCAAGTTCTCCTACGTGTCTTGCGGATGTGATGGCAACAAGGAAGGCTACTTTCATTGGAAGGTGTAATAGTGAACATGTAGCCCAGGTTTCAAACATAAGTCTGGTAAGAGAATGAAGTATTAAATTAAGATCCCATGGATGCATTGGGACTCTGAGTTCAGAACAGAGGCTCCAGACACCTCGTAAGAATTGTTTTGTAAATGGATGGGTAAAGACTGAAAACCCATCCACTTTATGGTGGAAGGTTGTGCTAGCTGCAAGGTGTCCTCTGAGTGAGCTCAGTGAAAGACCCGATTGTAGGAAATGGTCTACTTCCTGTCTCAGAAGGTGCTTGTGAGAGGGGTCCCTGAAGAAGGACGGGTAGGTGGGGGGAATGGAGGTGAACTGCATGGAATAACCGGTGGTGACAATTTCCAGCACCCATTTGTCGAAAGCAATAATTTGCCATGCTGGGTAGAATGGTGTCAAATGACCTGTAAAGGGATGGCTGTTAGAAAGTGATTTCAGCAACTGGAATTGGGGGAGGTCTCTTGGGACTTCAACCAAACCCTCAAATTTGATGTTTTGATCCACACTGTCGCGATGTAGAAGTTTGAGATTCGAGTGGCCTATGTCGGTCTTCGCCTCCATCTCTGGGTATCATACTGCCTCTCTGACTGTATGTAAGGTGCTGGTCTTGAGCACTGTGATGGATAATATCTGCCTTGTTTTTGTTTCTGTGCAGGTCTGTACATGTCTAAAGACCAAAGAGTCACTCTAGAGTCTTTCAATGTATGCAGGGACTTGGTCTTACCTGCAAATAATTTTGGACCTTCAAAGGGGAGGCATGTCGCATCACTATGGCAGTTGTGATGGATCTTGCACCACCGTGTCTGCTGAGTCTAAGGATGCCTGCAGAGCTATTCTTGCCAGGAGATGACTGACCTAAATTGCTCCCTTTTGTCTTCAGGAATGAAGTTAATACATTCAGAAAGTTTGGAGTAATTTGTGAGAGTCTATTTCGCCATCAAAGCTTCATAGTTGGCTATTCTGAACTGCAATGTCACTGACGAATAGGCCTTATCACCAAAAAGATCCAATCTTTTCCTTTCTTTATCATACAGGGTGGTCCTCGAATGGTGTTGTCTGCCCCATTCATTGACCGTCTTTATCACCAATGAGTTTGGCTGGGGGTGTGAAAATAGAAATTCTAGACCCTTTGATGGGATGTAATACTTCTTATCGGCCCTTTTACAAATTGGGAGGATTATTGTGGGGGTCTGCCAGATGGTGTTGGCGGGATCCATGAATGCCTCATTTATGGGAAAGGCAATTCTGGAGGAGGAGGAGGATGTGTGTAATATGTCCAACAACTTGTGTTGGGACTCAGCAACTTCTTCCAGAGGGATTTGGAGAGTGTCTGCGATTCATTTAAACAGCTCCTGAAATTGTTTAAAATCATCTCCTGTTGTAGGTGGCGGAGGCATGATGGTCTTGTCTGGAGAGGAGGAGGTGTTAGTTGCAGGAGTGACCTCCTGCTCTACAGCCTCCTCTATTTCCTCAAAAAGTCTCCTCGGGGAACTCACGGGATCCCATCTCTGACACTGATGGAGAACGTCTCTGTCTTTCCCTTGAGGTGCTCGGAGGCTTGGAATAATGTTGCCTATATACCATCCATAGGTCCCAATATGGCCACTGTGGTAGGAATGGCATTGTGGTGGCATCCATGGATGTCCACACCACCTCTGGGTGCCAGCCCTGCAACAATGTCCTGGCTGTTTTTGTAGATCTGGTCTGATGATTCCCTAGATGGGTGAAGAGTGGTGTGAAGAATAAACATCTTCTTCCTCATTGTCCTCCTCCTCACTAGAAAAAGGAGAGGCAGATATGTTTGTTGGCATGTGTAATAGTGCTGAATGTGCCGATGCTATATCACTACCGAGAAGAGGTGATTCCGGTGCTGCACAAACTACTAAGTCCTTATGTCGGAGAAACTGATGCATTCCAAGAGATCCCGGTACTGAAAATGGCATCGGCGGTAATTGTTGTGGTACCAGAATTGTTGCGGTGCCGGGAGGATTGGTGCTGAGGATGTCTGTACCGAAGGAGGTAAAGTAGACTTAGGTACCGCTGTCTCAGCATTATGCACCAGAGAGCCAGAAGATGGCGCTGTAAGCTGAGGTGCTGTGGAGGTGCTTGGTACCAAGTGTTTAGCTGCCTCAGTCAGTGACGTGGTAGAAGGGGTAGTCTTGTCTCTGCTATCCTTCTGTGCGCCTGCCTGCTTAGGTTATTGGGCTTTAGCGGTAATGGAAGATCCTGATGACTCGTAGGTACTTAGCTGCAGCATGGTCAATATTGACGATGTGGAAAGAGTTGGAGAACTTATTTTTCGAGGCTCCCTTTGGGGGAGAAGTAGTAGCTCTCTTCTTCACCCTTTTTCTGGGAGAGAGCTACCACTTCTCCTACAAAGGGAGCCTCAAAAAGAAGTGTTCTCTGACTCCTTCTTCACCCTTTTTCTAGGAGACAGGTCCCTCCCGTGCAGTCGCTGACCTTCTGCATATTCACAGAAGAAAGTTTTAAAGTATAATTGGGAATGAAGGTGCTTTTAATCTAGAGATAATATAAGAATATTTATATTTTTTGTTTTTCAAATTGCCAAACTCTAGAACCCATGTGTGTGACTGTTGTTTGTTTGTTTGTGTGGGAGGGTGGGGGCGTGAGAATAGGATTACAGAACACCAACAATTTAAGTATAAGATTTCAACCTGATGTGATGTAAAATTATTGAAATATTAATTCAGAAAGACTTAAAATGGAAACAATTGACCGATGCTCATTTAAAATGCTGCTTCTTATTTTCCTCCAGATCTTTGACTTTTCTGTTTATATTGCAGGTATTTTACAGAGTTTGAATTACCTTTCTCTGGATTTTTGCACATATTCTTCATTTTCTCTCTCAAGTTCTTTATTTTCACGTTCCAATTCATCCACTGCTTGAAGGGTATTGAGGAGCGTTTGTTTCATAGTCAAATGTTCAGATTCCCAGCTAGTTTTCTAAGAAACATTAAGACAGAGTAGGTTTGAAGATCATTTAAAGTTAACACAATGTACAAAGACTTTCACTTATAATTCATGAAAACAATAAAAAAAACTTACTAAATCTTCCATCACTTTAATCACTTCAGAACAAGCATCTAATAAACTTTTGTTCTCATTTTCTTGAGCCAATGTTTTATTGTTTAAATCCTCTACCTGGAAAACATATGTAAAAGTTAATAAAAAACAATATTTGCAACAAGAGAACTACACAAAAATTAAATACCAAAAATGGAAAAAGAACAGTTAGTTACTTTACAGTAACTGCAGTTCCTTGACATGTGTTGTACACATCAATTTAATTCTTGGGGCACATACAGTTCATGCATGCAAGATCAGATTCTTTTGGTCAGCATTATCCACTGGGGTCGTGTCTGCACCGTAGGTGTCCTCACAGTTCCTTCACCAATACAGAATCCAGAGTAGGATTCCACAATAGCAGGGAAAGAGGCACCATTATAAAATCCTTTTGGACAACACATCTCAAAGAGCCACAGTTAATGTAACATAAGTAGCCACTTTTTCTTCTTTAAGTGATTGGGCATGTCAGTTGGTGTGCTGACAGGCCCCAAAAGAAAACCTCTTTCATTTACTTTTATAAAAGTCACTCAAATTGTAGCTTTCCTATTTCGGAGCAGAATGTTTTGAAATTTCAGCTGAACATCATCTTTTGGTGGATGTCAGACATTCAGCAACCAGGCTGGCAAACGTAACAATGAATCTGTCTGTTGTTCTGTGAGACTATGTCAGGCAGAGCAGGCAAAATGACCAGGGGCTGCATTGAGAAGTTCACCATATCCAAATACCAGAACTGCTTGGCCAATGCCAGAGTTATCATGATCATTGACCTAACAGCTTGCCTCTGTTTCCTCAGGACCCTTGGTATAATGGGAATTTGGGGAGAAGGCATACATCAATCCCAGTGTCCTGGGAATGAGAACGGCATCTGCAGAGATTGGACTGAATCCCCCTCTAGAGCAGAACACTTAGTTTTTGTTCTGACCTGTGGCAAATAGGTCTATTGATTGGTATCTCCACTTGCAAAAGATGGCTGTGCAATACTGGCTCTTTGGTCAATCACTCATAGCTGTCTGAGAACTGTTTGTTCAGGTGATCTGCTAGTAACTTCTGAATGCTTTGAAGATAGTAGGCCAGCAACATGATCTGGTAATGAATACACCAAGGCCATAGCTAAATGGCCTCTTGACAGAGTGAAGGTGACCTCGTTCCTCCCTGTCTGCTGATATACTGCATAGCTGTGGTGTTTCTATCAGTACCTGGCTTGTGGATCCCAAGAGTAAAGACAGAAATGTTTTACATGCCAAATAGACTTCTCAGAGTTCCAGGACATTTATATGCAGACAACCTTGACGAGGGGACCACTTGTCCTCAGTCTGAAAGTGACCTAAATGATCCACCCATAAGTGGAGGCATCTGTCACCAGCTTCTTGGCTGACAGAAATACAGAGAAGGGTACTCCATTGCACACCTGAAGAGGGTCTTTCCACCAGTTTAAATGAGAAGAGGCCTTCTGGTGGGACAGTGGCCACCATGTCCACATGGTGCCTGCTGGGTAGGTACTTTGATTTCAACCACCCTTGTATGGAGCACAGATGAATACTGGCAAACTGCATCACATACAGGTGCATGAGGCCATGTGTCCCATAAATCTGAGACATAGTCTTACTCATGTCTTTGGGTGGAGTTGAAGTTGGTTGATAAGGTTCACTATAGTTTGGAATCTTTCTTATGGAAAATAAACTCTCATTGATCTGGAATTTAACAGCTCCTATGAACTTTATGCTTTGACTCAGAGCAAGTGTGAATTTTTCTCTGACTCTGAGGACCACGTGTGGCAAAGAGCTTTAAGTCACTTGAATCAAGTTGATGACCTGCTGAAGTGATCTTCCTCCAATGAGCCAGTCGTCGAGATATGGGTAGACCTGTCTCCTTAAATGAGTCACAATGACTTCTAATCACTTGGTGAATACCCTTGGTGCTATGGAAAAACCAAAAGGCAGGACCTTATAATGATAGTGAAAGGGTTCTGCTAGGAATCTGAGGTATTTCCTATGGGCAGGATGAACGGATACGTGAAAATAGGCTTCTTGAAGGTAGAGAGCCGCACTTTAGTCTTGGAATAGGCAAGGAAGGTAGGGAATGGGATGGGACTAAAATTGGACAGACTACCCGTTGCTGTCAAGGCTTCCCAAAACTAAAAAATGTTAAAGGCAAGGGATCTTTGAGAGGTTCTGTCAAGCTTTCAACACCAGAATCAAACCTGCTGCCTGGAGGAAGATGCAGATTGGGCAACAGTGGAGGAAGAGACAGTGGGTCATCAGCTACAGAGCCTCAGCTTTCTGTCTCAGCACCGCTGAGGTCTTGTGAAGCTGATAATAGGACTGGGCAGAGGGATGCTGCCTGATGAAAGCCCTTCTGCCCTTCTTGGGGCTGGAACGCAGAGGCCCACAGAATGAAGAATCACCCTGGAATCCTCAAAAGGAAATGTCCTCAATTGTGGTTTGGATCTCCCTGAAGCCAGGAAGATCTCATTACCACAGATGTGGATGTAGTAGAAGCCACTGTGCTAGGCATGTCCAGCACAACTGGAAGGGAAATGTGGGCTCATAAGTTGTCCCTCAGTCATTATGGTTTTTAGTTCCTCTCAATGCTCCTGTGGTAGGTTGACCCAATTCAGATATCATGGTAGTTCGCCACATACATTTGGATGCTGTCAGATGAGTAGACTGTGTATCAAAATAAAATGAGTTTCTTCAGGTATTTTTTCCTGGAGGTAGATTTGGGAGGCCCCTGCTTCTTCAACCGCTCTTGGACAGCAACTACTACAAGCAATCCTGGTACTAGGTGGGAATAAAAATACTCAAATCCCTTGGAAGATGCTTGATATCTCCTCTCAACTCATTTGGATATGTCCAGTATAGAAGTTACCATTGTACCACAGGTCTTTTGCAGGTTCCAACAATTCCTCATTTATCAGCGTGGCAAGCTTGCCAGACATGAAAGGATGCATGATATCAGGAGTTGTGAGGTGTCTCCTGCACCACTTCCACCAGTATATGCAGAATTTCTGCCATATGCTTCACACGGTCCTGAATGCCTGAAGTCATCAACTGAGGAAGGCTTTGAGGCCAGGAATGCCTTGAAGGCATCAACTGAGGAAGGCTACTGTGTCATTGGGGAAGGACGAGGACATTGCAACAGGGACAATTTGTTCTTCTTTTTGCAGATATTGCTCCTCATCACCTTCTCTCTACTGCCTTTCCAGAAGCAAAGGCTGCACTGGCTGACATGTTGGGTTGGTCTATACTGCCTTTTTAAGGAGAGAGATCTAACCAAAGGTGGGGATGCAGAGGGTGTATAAGCAATGTACTCCTCATCCCTGTCTGCACACATCAGGGAGTCACTTCCTCTAAAGTGGGCCCTTCCTGTCAGGAGTGCCCTTGCCCTGTTAGATCCTCCTCCCTAACCAGGTAGTAGCAGAGATACCTCCTTTGTTGTCTGCTGTACCAACAATTTGATAACAGATGGTTTAGCTATCAACATCTTCAACCTCTCAAGGAGAGGTGACACTATTACTGGCCCCACAGTTAAATCACTCAGTATTGCATAAGCCCTGGCTACCAAAAACACTCGTATGCTGAGCACTAAAGAACACGATTCTGAGGTGGCTAGTTCCATAGTGCCAGGCACTGACAGCATGGGTCCTGAAGGGCTGGTACTAAGAGAAACATAGTCCACAGGTTTGGTGGGTACTGGTCGCTCTCTCTTAAGAGTTGGTACCAAGGCATCAAAAGGACTTTTGTCAGGCCATTAGTGGCCCTTCAACTGCTGAGTCCAAGATGAATCAGACACCTCTGACTCTTGTTTCTCAACTGGATAGGCATCAGAAAGGGAGGTGTATGCCTTAGCATCTCTGGAGCAATGCTCCTTCCTAGCCCTCTCCTAAGATCATTGACACCGGAGTGTTGGTGGATGACTGGGGCCACTTCACTGACATAGCACGGGAGCTCGGGGTGGGTTCTCAGCTCACTGGGGTGTTCATGGGAAGAAACTGACTGGAGAACTTAGGTCTAGCCACATCCTTTTCTTTCAGTGTCCTCAGAGGCTTGCAGAGGTTGCTCCAGGAAGAACAATTTTAGGACAGCCTCTCTAGCTTTTTGAGTCTGCTTAGAGAAGGAACAACATATGGATCATCACTCAGGAATACATACCTCTCCTATACAAGTGATATCTGCAATGCCCATCATTAAACAGCATTGAAACTTCTCATGATGAGTAGCTTTTGAACACAAGCGATTCCACTTCTGCTATATACAAGGAGCGGTTTAGCCTAAAAGCTAATCAGCTGACTAAAAAAGTGTGGGTTTTTTGTACCAAATAACAAAAAGACTAACATATAGTACTAACAACTAGCTAATTAATAATACTAATAACTAACTCGAATACTATCAGTGCCCGAAGAAGCAGGCAGACACTGCAGGAGTTTCATCTCACTGCCACGGGCAGTAAGAAAGGACTGAGGGACAGTTGGGCCACTCCTCCCTTTATGCCCTCAAATAAGGAGCACAAGAATTCGAAGGGCACAGGTTTGGCCCCAACAGACACACGAGACCAAAAGAATGCGATCTCACATGCATAGGGCAGATGCACATGAACAGTGGAATCCATATGGGCAATCACTTGGAGAAGCAGCAACAATTATATATTTTAAAAAACAATCAAAATCTTACTTTCTTCATGTTAAAACAAACAACGTTGTTTTTATTTTTTAATTCTCTCCTTTTAAAAATTGTTCATTTTCTCCTAAAAGTGGAGAAAAACAATGGCTAACTCTAGATATAGATAAATAGTTTAAAAGTTATACCACACTACTTCGTTCATTTCCTGATGTGAGACACTTTTGAAATACTATAGAATTTGGTTTTTCATGGTGATTTTAGTTCTTAAATATTTCAGTGATACAGAATGGAATAAAACAGATTTTACATGAAGCATCTGAAGGAAACACTGATGAATAGATAGTACATGCTGCAAATCTCCATTTAAATATATAGAAGAATTTAGAGAAAAAGATTGGGATCAAAAAACAGAATTTTGAAAACTGGTTTGGAGCCCTCGAATGATATTCTAGTCTG